CTGGAAAATAAGCTGGGAATTAACAGAAGAGAAACGAAAGAGTGAGGAGAAGGGAAAGGAATTGGAGGAAAAATTGAGACAAAGTAGAGAGAGAGGGAAGGAATTGGAGGAAAGACTGGGTAAGGTAAAGGAACCCAGAACAAAGAAATGGGCTGGGAAAGACCTTTCCAGACGGAAAGGTGGAGGGGGATTTGTGTGGAAATGCAAACAGAGGCGTCTACACCAGACATTCCCAGGGGGACAATGATAGTTCCCCTTGATAGAGAAGAAGAGGATAACACAGCTGCTCACTCAATGGAGTGGACAGCTGTGGACGACAGGAAAAGGAAAAGGAGACAGGACAGAGAGGGGGAGGGAAAGGACGCACCGATCATTAAGGTGACCGTGCGTCCACAACCGCAGAAGGGAAGGGTTGAGCCACTGAGCCCCCTGCACAGAGAGAAAAGGGAGGTAAATGGCCGCGGCTACCCACGACAGCTGCGGTCACGATTAGATTAGAGGAAGGGGCTTCGTACGCCGAAGTAATAAAGAGGGCAACGAGGGAGATCCCCCTCACGGAATTAAGTATCCCTGGCGTGGACGCAGGGAGGAGTGCGGATGGCGCACTTTTAGTCCGCGTCAGGGACCTGGGCCCTGAGGGGGAAAAGCCGACCTGGATACCTATTATGGAACTCGTTGGAATCGATTCCGATCGAATTTATTTCATTATTTCCTAGATTTATATTGTATTTTCTAGGGAAAACGGAATTATTCCGATCGGAATCGATTCCGACGAGTTCCATGATAGGTACCTTGCTCGCACAGCGGCTTAAGGAGGTGTTGCCAGGGGCAGCTATAGGTCATCCAGTGATGAAAGGGGAGGCCCGCTTCACGGGTTTTAATGAGGCGGCCTCCCCTGATGAAATCAAAGCGGCCCTGGCGGAATGCGCGGGCTGCGGTGTGGATAAAATAGAAATGGGTCCTCTTAAATGGAGACCTCGGGGTAGGGGTGCCGCATGGGCACGACTACCGTTAGCCGCTGCGGTGACAGCGGCAAGAAAGAGAGGATATGCACTGGGGTGGTCGACTGTCAGTGTTACGATGCTGGCAGCCAGGCCACCCACACTTATAGCATCCAGTGCTATAAGTGCTGGGGCCTCGGCCACACAAGATGGAACTGTCCCGCTGCAGTAGACCGTAGCGGGCTATGCTATCGGTGTGGCCGGGGTGGGCACACCGCGCGGCAGTGTGAAGAACTGCCAAATTGCGCGGTGTGCCAAGAAGCAGGAAGAAACGCGAGCCAGCAGGATGGCTGGGCCATCCTGCTGGCTCGTAACGCAGGGGGGCGACAATAGGCGCCTTGGACGCCGTCACGTTCGCCCTCCCAACGAGGGATCGTTGGGTGGTGGTGTGAGTGGTCACACCACCATGTTTGGGTGGCCAAACCCCCACACTCAACTCTGGGGATGGGGGTGAGGAAAGGAGGAGGTTAAAGGGCCCTGAAATAGATCGGGGTCCTACCACAGAAAGGAGAAGGGAAGTGGGAGAAGGAAATCTCCCACCAGACCGAGCGCCAATACCAACTGGCGCGAAAGGGAAGGGGCAGGCCAGCAGCTGCCCCCAACCGACTACGGAGGATGGTCGAGCCGTTCCTCAACAAGGGGTGGCCAGGCCAAGTAAACACAACAGGAGAAGGGGAGAGGGCGGCGGCGTTTCTCGCCGCCAGCAAGCGCACCCCTCCCCCCATCCTTCTGGGAGAACCCGTGAAATACGGTTAACCCCCCAGACGGGATGCCCAGACGGGATGCCCAGACGGGTACCCGCGCCTAACGGCCGTGCGAGCTTGTTCCCCACTTGCCCGCAACTAGCCGACCATCGCAGGCCCCGTGCGGCAGGGCACCCCGCTCAAAGGGAGCAACCCTTGAGAGGGCAGACCTTCCGTCCTCCCCGCCAGGTAGTGCAGCTTCGCCGCGCTCCACCATTGTCCCTTCATCAGCCCGGCTGCTATCCCACTCTCCGGTGAGAGCGATCCTCTCGCTCCATCGCCTCCGAGCCCGCTGTAGGTCAGCTATTCTGCTAGTTACCAAGGCTCCTCTCTCCAGAGTCTTTGCTGGCGCACTTCAGAGTTACCTCCAAAGGCGCCCGATCCAACACTCGGAGCTTACACTCTCTCCCCTCAGGAAAACCGGTTCATTCAGGATCCCCACTCGCCACAAAGCACGGTCAAACAGTCCCACCGCTCGGCCGACCCCTCCCCGCGAATGAGGATCCGTCCCCAGCCCTCCTCTAGGAATCACACTCTTAGAGTGCCGGCTGGCGCGCTTCCGAGTTGCCTCAAAGGCGCCCGACCCAACACTTGGAGTTACACTATTCTCCCTCGGGAGGGCCAGTTCATTCAGGACCTTCACTCGCCTCTGAGCACGGCTAAACAGTCCCACCGCTCGGCCGACTTCTCTTCCCGAATGAGGATCCGTCCCCAACCCTTAATATACTTGGATACTTTGGTGGGCATTTTCTAGGCTCACGTACGGGTTCCCTGGGGGTTCCCCAAGGATCAGTATTCAGCCCTTTGCTATTTGATCTATATATAGCCAATATATACTCTGGCCTAGATGACTCAATCGAGATAATGGCTTACGCGGACGATCTTGTTATATTTACCAAATATAAAGATTCACTCTATCCACTCTATCTCGAACCATCTAAATGCTAATCTAAAAATTCTTAGTATGAACCTATCAAGACTTGATTTAAGCATCTCCACTGAGAAGACTAATTGGTGTATATTTGATCAAAACAAGAGGTTTCGCACCTTGCAGTCCATTGTCAATTTTGATCGCTTGTGGCTGCAACTCGAGGAGTCTGTTATTCCTCTTGTCTCCTATGTTACGTTTTTAGGGTTCGTTTTTAACTAAAATCTTTCATGGAAACCTCATATTAATAAGATCAGAGTGGAAGGCCAGAAACGAGTTAATTTGATCAAATCTTTTACTGGAATTAAATGGGGTGCGCATCCAACTACTCTACTAACTGTATACAAAGGCCTTGTTAGGTCTTTTCTAGACTGGGGCGGCGTTGTGTTTATGGAAGTCCCTAGGAACCTGATTGTGCAATTGGACAGGATACACTATAGTTGCGAGTAATTCTTGGTTTTATGAGATCTATCCCCACCAATATCTTACTGGATCAGATAGCTGAATGGCCGCTGGTCTTCAGGTGGAGATTCTTGAAATGAAAACGTTTATCAAAAGCTATACATTATTGGATAACCCGTTGAACAGATTTGTTGATGACTAGTGTGTCTCTGTTTATGATAGCGGCGGTGCTCGTAACGAGTTAAATCCAGTCCCGGCATTTCTGTCTAACGTTCTAGCGCATCAGGATCCTCTTCGGGTAATGAGAAACCATTCCTTTCCCTCCTCCCTTGAATACTCCTTCAACTTTAGATTTTTCCGGCCTAACAACAATGTCAATCTCTTTGACGACATCAAGAGATTTAATAAGAGAAATGGCAATTTTTGGTTTGACTCCAATAATAAACATATTTCGGTTAAAGGGTTACAAAGGCGCGTTTGTGGTATAATTCGTGACTTGAATCTTTTTACAGAGGTGTACATAGATGGTTCAATTCTTAAGAACAGGAAGGTTGGATTTGGTGTATATATCCCGTCTCCTGAATTCCGTGAATTCATCCATACCTTTGATTCAGGCAACATCTTTTACGTTGAGGCACTGGCTATCCTTTGGGCTGTTAATACTATCTCTGAAGAGAATTTTGCAAAAACAGGCATTTTTACTGATTCTCTTAGTACCATTAGCGCTCTTGGTTCAGATGATCCGGAGGGTAAGGCCACCGGTATTATTTTTGCAATCAAATTTGCTCTATGGAAAGCCTCGGTTAAAGGACTTAGCATCATCCTATTTCGGACATCTGGTCACAAAGGTATTCCCGGCAATTAGCTAGCTGACGTTCTGGCTGGCTTGGGCGCACGTAGTACCGAGCCTCCTAATGAACAGAGTTCGTCTCCATTCATGAGGGATTTTATTGACGGTTTTAAGAGGTACACGATAATGCTATGGGATTTTTGGAAGATGAATTTCTGTACAAAGGAGTTAGGTACAGAACTGGGGTCTCTCAGTTGTCCATCAAACCTTGGTTCTCTATTCTGAAGCATGTTAAAAGAAGAACTATTACCTTGATGGCAAGGCTGAGATCACGACATATTTGCACTATGGAACATTTAATCAGGAAACTCAATATAGAGGACTCTGCTTGTTTATGTGGATGGTATAATCGAGACGTGGAACATGTTCTCTTCAGATGCCCTCTATTCGCGGAGAAATCGGACCAATTGTTACTTAAACTTTATCACAAAGGGGATATTACTAACAGTGATGAAATCGTAAACTCAGCATTTAACAACAAATTTATCTCAAGCTTTGCGGAAATTGCAAAATTCCTAGAGGAAACCAACCAGATACTGAGATCAATCTTGGCAATATTTCATCGAACTTACACTGGAGAGTGGCGTTGGAGCAGTACACACGCGGACATAAAGGTTTGTGACCGTTTTTTTGCAATTTTCGGAACGCATCCCGACTCGAGAAGAATGAGAGTCACTGCTCCACCTGTGGAGCACGCCTGCGCAGTGACTCACGACGAAAAGCGAGAAATGAAATATATGCGGTGGGACATATTATAATAATATTGATGAAATGAATACTCCAGCATTAAATGGAAATGAGGGAACACAGAACAGACAAGAATCATCCGATGTAAATCTTATACTCCGGAGGACATCCGAAAAAAGTAGAGATAAATAAACATGTTTATGTTTTTAAAACAATATGAACTTAATTAAGAGAATTAAGCTGCATTACGATAATTACGATTCTGTTATACATTTGTATGTGATTTATTGTTTCAGCAACAGCCATCTTCTATAGCAGAAGCAATGATATTAGACACAGAAGCAGCTGTTATAGCGAATTTTGAATTTTTGGGACATACAGACATGGACATGGAAGAGGAAAAAGGAGATGGAGAGGATGAAATTTATGATGCAAATACAGATACCAAACTAAATAAAGTAACGTTTACTATCATCTTGCGTTTTAATGATATTATTCACGCTATTTGTTAACATAATTTCTTATTTTTCAGGCATTTATTCTCCTTCTAGCGGAAGATGTTGATACAGATGCAGAGGCAGAAATATTAAATGAATTAAATCTCCTCACAGAAATTGAAGAATCGCCACCTGGTTCTATCCATCTGGAAATGAATTCTTCAAAAGTTAGTAAATCCCTTTTTATTCGTGTATTTTAAGATAAAATATAAACCTTTTACAATAATAGATATTTTATAATATTGTCACATATAATCACATAATCTAATGATGCCTGTAGATTTATTACATAGAGGATTACAACAAGATCCAAGATGCCTAAATAATAAAGAAGGCGGTGACTCCACGCTGGAATTAGGAGAATTAGAACAATTATGTGTTAACAATGATGCAGAAATATCGTACGATGTAAGTTCCAAGAATTTTCCCCTGTATTTCAGTCGAGTCGCTTTTTCAGCTATGTAAGAGTTACAGTTTGAATGAATACAGTTTAATCTCTTCGAACGTTTTGATAATCTCTGCGAGCATCATGGATGTGAGAAGATATCTACATTGGCCGACTGCTACTATTGCGTGAGCGGATGTCCCGAGCCGAGGTCCGATCACAAAGTGCTGCATAGAAATGGGTTTAGGTGAGTGGAATGTCATTTACACGTGGTTGGCAGATATCTTCAAATCTGGTGCTAAATTAATGCTGTGCGTTTCTCATCTTAACAGCTATGATCGAAGCGATCAAACAATTCGACATCGAAAGAAGGGAAGGTGTGAACATGAGAATAGGTGTGCATACAGGCACCGTGCTCTGCGGAATCGTGGGTACGAAAAGATTCAAGTTCAATGTCTGGTCGAACGATGTGACATTGGCGAATAAACTCGAGAGCGGGAAGCGGGAAAATCCGGTCGTGTACACTTGAATGAGAATATCCTGAGATTTCTGGACGACCAGTACATCACGGAAGAGGGAGAACTAGACAATGGTGAGTAAATTAATTCGGAAGGAAAGCAAGCAGACCAAAATTGGAATTTTATGTGTCATGCGTTGTTGGAAATATCGCATAACAGCCTGCGAATGAGCAAAATATTGGAACTTGTTTATTCGTTTCAGGTGTTAAGACTTATTTCATCCGAGCCTGCAAGTCGGACTTCGTGAATCAATTTATCACGAACGTTACATCACCGAAAAGTATCTCACCGTTGATGCAGTCACGTAGCCGTCTGGCGTCGTGCAATACTCAGGTTAAGCCATGCCATCATTATCTCCACATGGTCATCAACACGAGCAACTATCGGATGAAAGCTAATTCCTTGCCGAGTATTTTGGATTCCGAGAATGGCGACGACACTATAGACGAAAAAGAGGATTCTAACAAGAGCCCGACGTCCACCACTAGTTACGGCAAGAAGAAGTACGAAACGGAAGAAAGAAAGTATGAAATAAACCGTGGAAGTACTTGCAGAGGCAACGGACGACCGAGGAGATGACACCGCTGAAGATAGAGGAGAGGAGAAACATCGCCATGGGACGAGCGAAACCTGAAGTCCAGGCGTATGAGGAGTGCAATGGGTTTAGACGAGTATATGGCTCTCTTCATTTCCCTACTTGGCATATTTTGTAGTCTCTCGACAGTAACGATTGACGCAGATTCCTCTTACGAGGGTTGCCTTTTATATTTCGGGAATGGACGATCCAGGTGCTGCCATCTGACAACCGACGTTCCTAACGTAAAGTTCGACTTTTTGTCAGTATACTTACTCAGAACGTTTTGATGTCCATGTGCCATTTATGTTGTTTACAGTGACATGAAAAATTGATGTCGGCCAAGAAATGGAATTAAGTCATGAACATTTCTGTGCGATTATTTTTTACAACTTTCGACGTGGATTATCTCAACAACAGTGCATCGATGAACTTAATTCAACTTTTGGCGATGAAGCACCATCAAAAACCACTATATATCGATGGTATACGGAATTCAATTGTGGCCGTAGTTCGCTTAGTGATGAATTTCGTGAAGATCGTCCAAAATCGGTTGTTGCTCCAGAAAACATTGATGCTGTGCGTGAACTGATATTGTAAGATCGTCATGTGACTTATCGTGAGATTGAGGCATCCTTGGGCATTAGTGGGACCAACATACATTCAATATTGCATGAACATTTGGCTATAAAAAAAATTTGTTCGCGTTGGATCCCACATAATTTAACAATCGCTCAAAAAAAGGCTCGTGTCGATTGGTCGAGAGAAATACTCAAGAAATATGATTGCGGTGCTTCAAAACACGTCTATGATATCGTAACAGGTGACGAATCATGGATCTATGCGTATGAGCCCGAAAGTAAACAGCAGTCAACTGTATGGGTCTTTCAAGATGAGTCAAATCCAACAAAAGTTGTTCGCGAAGCACTTCAAAGCAAATGGTCGCCTGTTTTTTCGGAAAAACCGGACATATGGCAACTGTACCATTAGTGCAATGTCGGATGGTCAATTCTGAATGGTACACCATTTATTTGTCAAAAGTCTTCGGAAAAATAAGGGAAACCAACCGCCGAAGACGCATCATTCTTTACCAGGACAATGCGAGCTCTCACACATCGGCTCAAACAAGAGACTTTTTGAGAACTGAAAAAGTCGAATTGATGGGTCATCCGCCGTACAGCCCTGATTTGGCACCCAATGACTTCTTTTTATTCCCGCAAATCAAAAATAAATTACGAGATCAACGTTTTTCGACGCTTGAAGAAGCGGTTGATGCGTTCAAAATGCATGTTTTGGAGGTACCTCAATCGGAGTGGAAAAAGTGCTTCGAAAATTGGTTCAAGCGCATGCAAAAGTGTATTGATCTTCATGGAAAATATTTTGAAAAACAATAAACCCATGTACGATGATTAATTTCCTTTTTTTGTTCTCTATTCCCGAAATATAAAAGGCAACCCTCGTACCAATGGCGTCGAGATGGATCCGAAACCTGTACCTTCTACTCCTTTATTATTTGGTCAAGAACCGATTAGTCACGCTTCTTCCATATGCAGAAGGAAGGATTCCGGCATTAAGAGCAACATCAAGCGAAGTAGTATACAACAGCAGGTACCGAAAATTGTGTATATATTTTGTACAGCTTCAACTACAGAGTGAATTACTTGCCACAAACGTGTTTCATTTGCATTATTATACAATCCTGTTGCAGTTATTCCTAATAAACGGCATGGCCCAAGGCGATCGTTTAGGACACAGGGTCAGTGGCTATTATACTTCTAGTTGGACGTTAAATTCTACTCACGAGCCTTCATCGTCGATACCTCCTTACCCGTTTCCACCGATAGTGACGGATATATTCGGCGCATGCTTTCATAAACTGCGAAAGCGATTCGATCTCCAGTTGATTAGGTAAGCGAATCGCTGGCAGAAGTGTTGCACAAATGACGACAAAATCCATTAAGCCGGTCTTTCATTTCTCTAAAGATGTGTCCAAGACAACGTGAGCTCTCAACGTTCGTACTTCGTTAAGCCAACGCTGTCCAACTGTTACGTCCTGCGGACTCCGCGTACTTTGAATTCGTTGTCAAGTAGGGCGAATTGCATTTTATATTATACGACCAAATATTCATGTTCCGCGACCCTCCGAGAATAGTGACGTCATACACACAGATTTCTCTTTCTTTTCTCTCTGCTTTAATCACCGGAGTTTCCTCTATTTCCGTCGGAAAAGATCCGCTGAGTTATTTTAGCCATATATCTCCTCTCGAAATAACCTTAAATAACTTCCTGTTCAGAGCAACAATTTTCTTTGAAGACGGACCGACCAGACAATCTTTCATGCTGTTATATAATATTACTAGCCTTTGATCTTCGGAAACTCATGCTTTCCCATGTTATTTATAGATTCTTATCGCGCACAATCTCTGACTAACCCTAGCGGAACCATGAAGTCTTTTACTGCCATAGATACCAGATCCTTTATCATATTTATCTCAGGCTAAGAACCCCACTAAGAACCCACTTCCGAAAAGTTTTGCAACAAAATCCTATACCCATATTTGGACATAAACTTTGGAGCCTGACGCAACTTCCAAAACCCCACCCTCTCGACCGAGGTGACGTTTTTAGTAAAATGAAAAAGCTATGCCACTTCTATTTCTCCTCTCGACCGACTCGCAGCCAGGACAGAGTCTTCTCTCCAACACCCCTTCAGGGTCTCTTAATAACCAAGCCTACTAGTGAGGCAGATCAGAGTTCTTCAGTTGTTAATTATTCTGTGCAACGATTATTCTGTGCGTTCTTGGGGCATTGCGAGCGATCCTGCTGAAACCAGTTTCCTGTTCTTGGCGCAAAATTTGGGTCCATCCTCACAGACACGTAGCAATTACACTTTTCATTGTCGACTAACATCATAGAACCAGCAGTAAGTTATTTATACTTTCTTTTGCCTGAGTGACCCCTGTCTTTTCATTTTCTTCTTTTCTTCTCTCTGTTTTCTTTTCCTTTCCTTTGCTTCCCTTTTTCTAGTCCCTTGGCATTCCGCCTTAATTGTTAAATCAGGTGCCAGTGGCCAATCTTTTCGATCACAGTCGGACATAACGAACACGGAATTTTGCTCAGACCGCGATTGTTTATACATATATGTATACGTACACATTATAAAAGCTTATAAATTTTATTTCATTGTGAACATCCGTCTAGTTACTAATAAAACAAGTTGTTTGTAATTGTAAGCCAATCACGTTTTCCAAATAATTATTCTCAACCAAAAAATTCTCCCTTCTCTCAACCGTCGCTCACGGTCCTATCCCAGGTAAAAGGATTCAGTTCCTTGACCTAAATAAAGGACCACCGACGTACGTCCGCGCCAGATAAAGGGGTTATTCCGATCCTTGATCTGCACCGCAGACTTGCGAGTACATCGGAGCGAAAGCAAGCGTCAAGTTGCGTTCCTCCTCCAGGACGTAACACAACGTTACTCTTTTTTAACACAATTACTCTTTTTCTTAACACAACGTTACTCTTTTTTAAGAACAAGGAGATGGAGAAGGAGTACTGAGAGAATGTGCACAAAGCTAGCGAAGGTATTGGCGGCAATCCGCCTACTGGCTACTGCGAGGTTCAACATGAATTTTGATATTCTGATATCCGCTCTGGTCTACACGGTCATCACGATCTTTCTTTTCACAATACATAAAAATATAAGGAAAAAACCCTCTCGAGAGAGAAAGAGCTTCATAATTTGTATCCATTCTATTATGTCTATATATGAGAAGATATATTGATACATGGAAATATACTTACATCTTGTAATCACATGCGCACATGGCAAAGTATGTTTTTGAGAAGAACAAAGGAAAATATAATGAAAAAGATATGAAAAGAAGAGCAGAAACTGAGAGAAAAAGAAAAAGAAGAGAAAAAACATGAGGAGGAGGCAGAAGAACGTTTAGCCACTCTATGTAAAATTGGAGATCGCTGTGAGGTATCTGTTCTAAATCAACGAAAACGAGGAGCTACAATTTTATATGTTGGTCAGTAAAAAATTATATCTTTATTATGTTAACAAATAGCGTGAACAATATCATTAAAACGTAAGATGATAGTAAATGTTACTTTATTTGGTTTGGTATCTGTATTTGCATCGTAAATTTCATCCTCTCCATCACCTTTTTCCTCTTCCATGTCCATGTCTGTATGTCCCAAAAATTCAAAATTCGCTATAACAGCTGCTTCTGTGTCTAATATCATTGCTTCTGCTATAGAAGATGGCTGTTGCTGAAACAATAAATCACATATAAATGTATAACAGAATCGTAATTATCGTAATGCAGCTTAATTCTCTTAATTAAGTTCGTATTGTTTTAAAAACATAAACATGTTTATTTATCTCTACTTTTTTCGGATGTCCCCCGGAGTATAAGATTTACATCGGAT